TGTATTATCTGATCTTATGCAGAAATAATAATCAGGTGCATTCTCTTCTTGGATTGGACTGATACATTTTTTTTTAATTCCCTTCCCTTGCCCTGTGCAAGGGTTATTAACTAGTTGTGTAAGTACCTTTTCGGAAGGACCATGATGCTGTGTGAATGTGTATAGCTGCAAATTAAGGCTGATGAAGAGCTGGGTTGCAGCTGTAATTCCAGGAGGTGCCTGTTAAAGCAGGAGCAGGTCATGCCGGATGACTCAGACAAGAAAGTGAAGTTGCAGAGATGGAACCACCTCCCAGAAGTTCCTCGTTCATCCAGTGTGAAAGTCATACTCTTTTGGAACCAAGCAGCCAAACCTTTTCCATTGACTGCATCCGAACAATTGTGTATTTGGTTCCTGTTTTCACACAGTACCTTGAATCGTAACCAGACTAAGTGGGTTGGCTTTGCCCAAACCTGATGTCATCCCAAAAAGTTTTGCCAAGTTTAGTCTGGCCCAGTTGTTGAAAGGCCAGGTTAGGGACAGATCATTGTAGAAAAAATCTATGTGGTCGCTAGGAGTCAACCCTGACTTGATGGCACATAATTAATTAATCAGTCTGGTCCCAAGTACAGTAAATGTCCTGTGAACATGTAAACCCTTCCAATTTTAAAAAAAGTGGAGGTGAGGAGTGAGATGCACCATAGGACAGACTCTAATATACAAATTATTTTAACGCTGCTTTAATTGCATAAAATGAGTTTCTAGGACTTCCCTTTTGCTGTCCTGTCCTAATGTGTTTCTGGGCAGGACAGTACTTGACACTGTGTTAATCCTTGTGTTTTCTCAATCCACTCCTTCCCTTTATTGTCCTTAAAAGCCACCAAGGGAGAGGCAGATGTCACCAGTCAAAGTTCTGTCCGGCCGCATGTCTTGGACGGCCTCCCATGGGGGGGGCAGGAATCCCTTGCTGGAATGAGGCCAACCCTTGATGGGGGCAGCTTCTGGGTAGACTCTCATTTAACCTGGGATAGCCTTAGATGGGGCAGGAAAAAGTCCCTCTCAAATCCTCCCCAAGCATCACCCATCTCTTGAAAGTCTTTCTGAACTGGCTCAGGGAGGAAGGAGAAATAATGGGCCTTAAATTCTCCTTTGTTCTCTTCCTCCTCCTCCTCCTCCCTGAATTATTTGTAAAAAGATTGGTGAAACCAAGATGCCAGGGGACTCCCTGGGGACTTTTCTCCTACCATGGTTGGAGAAAACTGAGTTTCCCAGCCTTTTGTCATTCGTCAAAAACTTTAAAAGAGGAATAAATTCCAGAAGTCTGGGCTCTTCTACCTATGTTGTCTTGCATCTATAGATTGCTAATAGATTGCTGATTTGTAAGTCATCGGCGCTGTAGTTGCACTCATTACGCACACAGTGGTTTACTGAACAAACCACAGTTTATTGGGTTCAGAAACATGCAGGAAAGCCAAATCAACCCTCCCTGAGAGGTCCAGCTTCTTCGTAAAACCCTCTGAAGTTTAAAGCAGTTGCTTTTTTAAAAAAATGGCTTGATTTCTTTTGACCGTTTGTTTCACAGTCAGCTCATTCTGGTAAAATAAACACATTTGCTTGGTCTCCGCTTAGGGTGTTGTATGAACACAGCCCGCACCAGTGCTTCCCAAACTCTTTCCTTCATTGCCCAAAACTCAGGGGGGAAGGAGGGTGCGGGTGGGTGGGTGTGCGCGAGCAAGGGCATTTTCTAATTAAACAGTCTTTCATCAGATTAGCAGGCATTCAGAGCCACCACAAAAGCAACTTAAAAATTCTGATGCTACTCAGAAGCGCGATACGCTTGTCGGCGTGCAAAAGCTGTCCTTTTTCTCTAGAGGTTTCTGTTAATCCATAGTCTCGGTTTGGGAGCCACTGCCACCAATACTTCTACCTTGCCCCCAGATTGGGGCTTTTTCAGACACTTAGCCCTGTGGCTTAATTGCAGAGGAAATGCTTTCTTTTGTGTCGGGATCACCCCTTCTGGATTCTCCCCAGTGCCCCTTTGTGCATTTCAGTCCTCTGTTTGATTCTTCTTCGCCACCAAGTTAATTCCACTCAGCTTTGCAGGAACGCACATCTCCTGCTTTAAATAAAAGGGAAGGGCTGCGCATAGCTGGCTGGGATGCAGGCTGGGGCTCTGTGTGTGTTCCGTGCACCTCCGATGCAAATAGCATGAAAATCCCACAGCCAGGCGGTGCGTTGCTTCTCTTTCCAAGCGCCCTGCGGCAGGCTCCCTGGTCCTGGACGCCTTTTGAGCCGGGAGTGAGCGTGTTTGCACGCCACCTAACACACTGACTCCTCCTCCTGGGAAGAGGTGGGCCGGCTGCAAAGTGATGCTTTAGCCAGGATTCCCAAGGACGATCCATTCGTTTTCTGCCAAACTGCACGTCCTCCACGTAAGATCTCCGGAGCTACGTTAGGGCTGGCTGAGGATGGAGTGAGAGAGAAGCGGTAGCTGTGCTTCGCTGCCCACAGGGGCATGTGAAAGCTTTGCACGGAGCGCTTTGAGAGAATGCATGTCCCACCTATCTTTTTAAGCCTGAGTTGCGTGATTGCAGTAACATTCTTCAAATATATTCTTTAAAGCCTTCGGGTTGCTCAAATATTGATATTTTCTCTATCTCCTTTGCAGGGATGTGAGCTTTTATGCTGTTTGATCCACTCCATTAGCCTCTGCCCGTTAAAAGCATCTACATCTTGATGAACTTCATAATCTAGGAGGGGGAAAAAGATACGTTTTACATAGAAGCTTTTAAAAATCACATTTGATGCAGAGAGACCCGAGTTTCTTTGAAACCAGTGGATTGGATCCTTTCAGATTTTTCTTCGTAGCCAAATGAAACTACCTGTTTGCTTAGCACGTCTGCTGGTTTGTAAAATAGCTGCATTTTGGAAAGAATAAAAACCCAGACAGTTTAAAGCACGCACATATTCAGAATTTATCCAAATTCCAGCCAAATCCCCCCTGGCTAGAACTGGTTTCCTGCTGAAAGGGGATGAGCTTTTGATTCTGCGTTCCAGCTCTGAGACTGGCACTAAATGCGCATAATAAACTCTCTTGAAATATTTAAAATGCCAGGGAGAAAATCTTGATCTAAATATCCCCTGACAATTTATTCACTAATCCTTAGTAGTGTCGTCCTTGATCACCACGTAGTAAACAGGGTTCCGCTCCATGCACCTTTTACATTATTTGTTATCCCAATTCAACAATATTTATAAGGTTAATTCAAGTATAGCAGATATCATTCCTGGTCTTTTCAAGCTTTAGATGTGGCAATATGAGGAATACTCGCTCCGTTGCTCCTTTTTACGCTGTTTCTTGCTATAGGCCAAGTTTGCTAGCTCTGCGACTAAATTCACCACAAGCCATGAAACGTGGTTTATAAAGCACATTATGGCTTAGCGTGATGCACAGAAGATGCAGTCACATGTGCCTGGCTTCGCCATTGCTATATCAATGCATGAGAACAATGGATCTGCACGACCGTCTTGGTGCACGTAGAGAAACAGGAGCCGAAATAGCAGATCTTTCAGAATTGATGGCTGGCTGAACAGAGGCATTTTGATGGGATGGCAAAGTAAACCGCAGATTGGAAGGCAACTCTGGGTTTAGCAAAGCCATTAATTCAGATTTATGAGACAGTAAGTGTAGGCTTAACAGAGTCGAGGGAAGATTTAATTGTAAGTTACCATTTTTTTTCTTTACCTAAAGGTTTTTTAAACATCTGTCGTTGTTCTAAAAGATTGGTTTTTAAGTCCGGCAGCCTAGAGAAAGGTGGATCGCTCTGTTGCACAGCCCTGGGGTACTTAAGTCTAAGCCACATGGGCTGCTGGCTTATTGCAGTAGCCATCCTGGCTGAGCTTGATGAGATTTGTAGTCGGGTGCATCTGGAATGCGTCGTGCCGAGGAAAGATCGTTTTAGGAGAGCTGCCGTGACATCGTGGTGCTGAAGCATAGAGAGAACATACTGTCTTGTGGGATGGGCTGACAAGACGCCCAGCCAGGTTTCATTTCTGGTGCGTGTTTATCACCCAGGCGCAATCTGGTTTGCTGGCGATGTGTTCAAGAGGGGTGAAGGAAGGATGCGGGCTGCCAACTCCCTCGATCAAGGCTCTCGGGCTGCAAGAGGAGTATTTTGCATAACAGCCTGATTCGACTAGTGGGCCCGTTTGATCTGGAGAGAGGAGGAGGCAAAAGTGGGGTGCCGAAGCTTTTGTCCGGCTGAACAGCAGCCGACCTGAGAACGAGAACGGATGAAGCTGTGAACCTCCTTAGCAAGATGGCACGGATGGCAGGAGAAGGATTTGCCCAGAAAAGGAAGACGCTTTCGCTGATATTTTCGAGTTCTGTGATCTCGCAGACCATGAGGTCTGGCAGGTCGCTGAGAACAGTTGGCGTGCTGAATTTGAACCTGGTTGGGGCCATATTTAAATGTTTCAGCTGAGTGGCGTGTCAGTTAAGCTTTTATTAAGCAAGTGTAAATATTTCTGTTTGGGTGGGATAGCTTGGTGACAGCTGCATCATTTTCTGCCCTTGTTACGGGATGCCAGACTAAGTGTCTGTTTTCTCTGGGACGTAACCTCCTCTGTTCAGAAGTCAGCCCATTTTGCAAACTTGAGGTATTACATGCCGAACGAGTTTTGTTTCATCTGGACTTCATTGGTAATCCACTCCTTGTGTTTTTCAAAGTGTTTTGGTTATTTGTGACGCTACCCCCCCCCCCATACTGCAGATAAGGAAGACTGAGGCTGAGAGATAGTAGTATGTTTACAGCTGCTCACCAAGATCATCAGCAAGAGTTTGGATTTTTAAGAGTAGGCTTTTTATTTGCAAGTGAGCCTTTTAGCTTTCAGCTAACTAAAGTTCCTGGATTGCCTGTTTTTGCTATTTATATGTGTATCTGGGGGAGACGGGTGGCATATGAATTTAATAAATAAATAAATAAATAAATATAAAAATGCAACCTCCCCTAAAAGTTTTTGAACTGTCTTTTTTTTTTTTTTTTCCTGCCTCCTTCTCTGGGTCCCTGCAGTATGTGGTCCGCAGCTGACCAATTCCCCCACTGTGATTGTGATGGTTGGACTCCCGGCTCGTGGGAAAACCTACATTTCCAAAAAACTCACCCGCTACCTCAACTGGATCGGCGTGCCCACAAAAGGTGAGCTTCGGGGCTAATAGTTTTTTAATTGGTGCAGAAGCAAAGGCTTGCAAATGTTGAGCTTGACGCCCTCAACGGTAGATATATGGATATATGTATAAGGTTTGTGCGGCAACAGTACCAAAGTGGGGTGCCGTTAACATCCGACAGCGGCTCCTGCAGGTGTATAAACCATGAGTCCAGCTTGGCTGCAGCATCTAGCAGACCTTGGCCGATCTCAGGAGCCAAGCAGGGTGAGGCTTGGATGGGGGACCACTAGGAAGACGCATCATGGAAGAAGCTTGATTGATGTCTTCATCTGCTTTGCAGTGTTTAACGTTGGCGAGTATCGTCGCGAGGTTGTGAAGCATTACAGCTCTTACAACTTCTTCCGTCCCGACAATGAGGAAGCTATGAAAGTCCGCAAGTAAGTCTGCTGGGTTCCCAGATTTCCTTGGGTTGGGCCCGCCTGCCCCCCTCCCCTCCCCTGTTCTCTTTGCCATCTTCCTGCTGTCTGGCCAGGAAATTAAACAGGAATATTAATCGCGTTGCAATGTTCTTTTCATTAATTCCAAATTTCTAAGACAAGCAGAGGAATAAAATGATGACTTTGGGGCCAGTTTGGATGATACCTTGGCGTGCTATTTGGGAAGACAGTTGAAGGGAGCACACTGAGTCGTCGTACCCGAGATTCGTGTGTCTTTCAGTTCTGCCAATCTGGAGTCCTGCGCGGCATTTGTCTTTCTGAGAACCCAGGCTGCTACCTCAATACCAACAAAACAGTATTCTTGCCACACAACCAAAGAATTGGGAGGGACTTTAGAGGTCTTGTAATCTACCCCCATCGAGTGCAGGCTCTACTACAGCATCCCGGGCAGAGGCTCTCCGGCCTCTGAGGACTCACCACTTCGTGTGACAGCTCGTACAGTCAGGAAATTCCTCCTGAAGTCTGTGCTGAGGCTCTTTCCTTGTAGATGTAATCCGTTGGTTCTGGTCCTGCCCTTTGGGCCGCAGAAAATAAATCTCCCTCAACTGGGTGACTGACCACCTTCAGTTATTTGAAGGCTGCTATCAAATCTCACCTCAGTCATCTCTTTCGTAAATCGAACCAACCAAGTTCGTTTAACCTTTCCTCAGTGGGTGTGGGGTCCGCCCCCCTCACCGTCCTGGTGGCCTTCCTCTGAATTTTCTCCAGTTTGCCAGTGTCATTTCTGAACTGGACACAGAAGTCCAAATGGGGTCTGATGCTTCCTTCCCGTTCTGGTCTTCAGAGCTGTCCTGAGTGCTCAGGTCACCAATGTCGCCCTGGTTGGAAACTTAATTTTTTCATGGGGTGGCCTCTTTTGAAACACATACTGCTAAAGAGGAGGATTCGTTATCGATTACTTTTATGCCGCCTCAATCTTGCTGAATTTAAGTGGGTTACACTGACGTGCAAAGGATCTGGGAGTCAGTCCGACGTGTTTGATATTTCGAACGTTTCACCAAAGTGTTGGGGAGCAGGGAGAGAAATAAGTCAGAGCTACTCTGGTGTAGGGGAAGGTGCTGGACTAGAAACCAGGAGAGTGTGAGTCTAGCCTTCCCTTAAGCAGGCAAGCCAGCTGAGTCAGTTACTTTCACGCTGCCTTGAGTTTTTCAAAATAAAGGTGGGGTATACTATAAATCTAGCAACATACCAATTGGAGGATGTAAAGAATACTTCTTGTTATAGGGCATCAGTTCTTGGTGGCTGTGAGAACAAGTCCCTGCAGTTTTCCTGGCAGGATTTCAGAGGTGGTTTGCATTGCTTCCTTCCTCCCAGGGCTGAGGGAGAGGGACTGGCCCAGAGTCACCCAGCCGGCTTCCGTGCCCAAGGTGGGACTAGAACTCACGGTCTCCTGGCTTCTAGCACGGTGCTTTAGCCACTACACCCAACTGGTTCTCGAGAAAACTTTCAAACCTGAACCATTTTGCACCCTTCTGCAGAAAACGGGAGACCACCAGGAAATAACAGGGTTGAGAAGTTGGGGGGGAAAATATTGTGGAAGAAGGCCGAGGTAGATCTTTTCCAACAATGTCAGCAGGTTGTACGGGAAAGTCTTTAATCTGCCTGCTTTCAGCACTCGAGGTTCTGAAAATCCACAGGCGTAATCTTAAATGGGTGAATGGGGACATTGTCCTTTGTTGACCGTTCCGGCTGACTGTTTGAACAAGACACAATTGCCTCCTTCTCCTGAGCAGCTGGGGAGGCATCCAAATCGACGCTTGGTGGAAGAGAGCCCCAGCGGATTCCATCCAGCTCCGTGGCAGAAGGTCTTTGCTCCAGCTAGTGAAAGACAAAGCAGTTGCTTTGCAGGAGTCAGACCATGTGCAAGTGACCTTATTTCTATTGCTAACGGAGGATTTTTATTGCTAACGGAGCCGTCGCGCTTCCGGAATCCAGACTGCAATGGCCTTGCGTGTGTGAGCTTCCACATATGTGTCAATTAAAGAAGGTGCTAGTCCTCAGGGTTATGGGTGAAGCTGCACAGACATCCACCTGCCTTGTTTGAATAGCAGTTCTGGAAAATGTGTGAATGTCTTGCTTCCGCTTCCTCTCTGAAGGTTTTTTAAAAAAATTATTATATTTTGCCCTTCCTGAAGCTGGTTGCAGAGAAACTCTTATCTGCATTAGGTACATTCCTGACAAAGTGAAATGTGCCTTGAGGGAACTGGGGTGGTTGGGACTGAATCAAAGACCATCACATCTGGGCTGAAAAGAATCCAGGTAACCCCTACAGGACAGCAAAAAGATCTCAAAAACGTGACCCCCGTGCTGCTATCTTGCAGCCATCTGAATTTTTACAGGCCAAACCGGATGACCCTACAAAATAGCCTGAGGGTTGCTTCTAAACTCTTGTGCAATCTAAACAGTCCTTAATCTGCTTTTCCTCTCCTTGCAGACAATGTGCCTTAAGTGCCTTGAGAGATGTCAAACTCTATCTGTCTGACGAAGGTGGTCAGATTGCGGTAAGCAGCGTTCCTTGAAGCAACTTGGAGAAGACCCCTTGCGAAGGTGTCCCGGTGCAGGAGAGCCCTGCCTGGCCTAGTTTAAATTGTTTTAATGAGCTTTTTAATGAGCTTCTAAATTTGCAGTGCAGGAGGTGCCCCTAGAGATCCCTGAACCCACCGCAAGGTGAAACTTGTGGTTCTTAGAATCTTAGCTGGTCTTGATGGCCAAAAACAGGTGGGATGGTATCCTACCTTTCTGAAGAGGAGGAGAGATAAACATTATACTGGGGGCCCTAAAAATGTGCCACAGTTTAAAAAAAGCAATCAAACCCTAATTCTTCCACCCACCCACCCATCCATCCACCCTATGTCCATGATGGAGGAATTGTTGTGAGTTATGGAAAGGAACTACCAATGGACCACTGCCCAATTGCTCAGAGCATGCGGGTTGGTTCCACTCATCTTGGAAAATTTAATCTCTTCTTCCTGCAAATCAACCTATAAAAATGAGCAGTCTCTTCATTTTTCTTCCCTCCCCAGGTTTTTGATGCCACCAACACAACGCGTGAGAGGAGATCAATGATCCTGAATTTTGCCAAAGAAAATGGATACAAAGTGAGTGAATTTCTTGTACAAAAAGGAAAGGATTTTAAGACCTGGTCTCCTGCTGTTTGCACAAGTTCCCTCCCCTGACTGTAGCTGGCACCTTGACTAGACTCAATCTTTCCCCAACTCAATTCCCTACAGATGTGCTGGGTTACAATTGCCATAATTCCCAGCAAGGTAGGGATGATAGGCCTTTCTGCCCAGCACATTTGGGAGGGATCACTTTGGAGAACATTGCTGTAGTTGTAGGTCTGCTCTTCAGGATGTACACAATTGAGAAATCTATAACAATTATGAATTCTGGACTCATCAGGACAGTGTGTGGTTGGAGAAGGTGGGACAATCCCATCTTACTGTGTACATATTTGGCATGCAGAAGAAGCCTGTCATGAAGTCTCCTTTTTGAAGGTTTTTCTGAATGACTTTTCTGCAGGAGCTCTAGTTGGAGTAGAGAACTGGAGTAGAGAATTCAACTTTGTATCCAGCAACTTCATACGGCTGTGATGCCTTAATTCTAATGTCTTCTGCTCCCCTCAGGTGTTCTTCATTGAATCCATCTGCAATGACCCAACTGTGGTTGCTAGTAACATCATGGTAAGTATGAAGAGGGTTTCCCATCTGTCAAGTCCTATCTGGACTCAAGAGAATCCTTGAGATTGAGCTGGACGATCATACTTATGGGAAGGGATCATAGCTGAGTGAGACAGAGTCCATCTTGTATGTTCTGAAATTTCTCCATCCCATTCTCACCAACTAGTACTGAAGCCACAAGTCAGATTGAACACTGGATCTTATTCTGTTAGCCCTGGGGTAGAATAAGCTTGACTTAATGATGGGCTTGTTATTCTTACCCTTGGAACATGTCCTATTTTAGGAAGTCAAGCTGTCCAGCCCAGATTATAAGGACTGCAACTCAACTGATGCTATGGAAGATTTCATGAAGAGAATCAGCTGCTATCAATCCAGTTACCAGCCTCTTGATCCAGACGGATACGACAGGTAAAGAAACACCAGAATAACCACTCCTGGTTCAGCTGGGTCTAGTTTTGTCTTCAAGCAGCTAAAACCTGTTGGCCAATAGCATGAATACTGCTCCTCTATTTAAAATACAGGTAGTCCTCAGTTAACATCCATTTGCTCAGTGACTGTTTGAATGTACGATGGCACTGAATGAAGGGACTTACAACTGGTCCTTGAAGTGCCAGCTGTTGCAGTAACCCCATGATCACATGAGCAAAATTTGGATGCTTGGCAACCAGCTCACACTTACGACCAGTTGCAGTGTTCCACGGTCATGTGATTGCCATTTGCAACCTTCCTTGCTGGCTTCCCACAAAGTCGATGGGGGAGCCAGCAAGGAAGTTTGCAAGTTACTTGGGTAAGTGTCCCCCACCCCCACCCCTGGCCTTTCTTTGCTCTCATGCACTACACCCTCCTTCCTCGTTTTGCTCGCATACACTGTGCCCTCCTTCTCCCCACTTTCCTATGCTTGTGCCATTCAACAGCACCCCCTCCCTCAACTCGCATGCAGCCTGCGCATCTTGGGGTTACGGCAGCAACCAGTATTGCCATCACTAAGCAATGTGGCCATGTGACATCGTGCTTTACAATTGCATCGCTTAGTGACGGCAGTCTCGGTCCCAATTGTCGTAACTTGAAGACTAGCTGTAAAGTTAATCATTCAGGTGGGGCTGCTGTTTGTCCCAAAAAAGCAACCAAAACAGTGCTTTAAATAAGTAATTTTGATCAATGTCTCATTTGCTGAAGTATTTGGAAAGATCATTCCCTAATTTGGTTCACCACACAAGATGGGTTAGATTCCAGGCTGTTAGAGTTGGCAATTGGCCAAACTAGCTGGGAATTCTGCCTTTGGAAACTAGCACATTGGGAGGAGCTCCAGACTGGGGTTTCTTGGAAATCATGGACCTGAAGGACAAGAACCTCAGAACTTTGGAATCCTGTTCTGATCTTTCTGTGGTGAGCCTGACAAAAGGAAGTCTAGGGAAATCCAGTGGGCATCACCTATGATTGAAGGGTTGGTGGAATCAGTTGAAAATGTCCAGGGTCCCACTGCTTTTGTGGATTTGAGCTTAGAATAAGACGGCTGCTTTGTGGCTTCCATGCTACCATGGTTATCCCGTGTGTTTTCTTCCCTAGAGAGTTATCACTTATCAAAGTGATTGATGTTGGTCGAAGATACCTGGTGAACAGGGTCCAAGATCACATCCAAAGTCGAATTGTCTACTATCTGATGAACATCCACGTACAGCCCCGTACCATCTACTTGTGTCGACACGGCGAGAGTGAATTCAACCTCAAAGGGAAAATTGGTGGTGACTCAGGGCTGTCCAGCAGAGGCAAGAAGGTACGGGTGGGATTTACTTCTGAGTAAATGGGGTTGGGGTGGTAAGAGCATTAGCAAGAATTGCCTTCACAAAGAAGAAGGGGTGACTTTCACAGAAGGCCAGTGAACATCCTGGGAACACACCTTATGATGGTTGTGGGTGACTATCAAGGCTAACAAATTTCTAAGGTATTCCTTGAGAAATATCCTTTAGAGAAAAGACAAACTCCCCTTTGCTTTGCTGTTCCATAAAATAACTCATTTTGGAAGTCAAAGGAACTCTTCAGGAAGCGTGGGGAGCCTTGAAGCTTCTAGAGAGCTGTCTAGAAGTTGTTCCTGAGCGAGTTCCATCTTTCCCAATTCAGCAAAGGAAGATCTCTTTGAACAGCTCAGCTTCTGTTGACTTTCAGGACCCATCCCTGTAGTTTTCTTGGCAACAGCATGGAAGTAATTTCCAGAATGTCTTTCAGTTTCCCTGTCTGGCCCACAGCCTTGGGCCAGACCAAAGGATTTGTCTTTGGCACCAGGAGAAGGTTAACAGAAAACCATAGGAGCTGAGTCATTCTTTTCCATATTTTCTTTCTTTTTCTTTTCTAGTTTTCCAGCGCGCTGAATAATTTTGTCCAAGACCAAAACCTGAAAGACCTCAAAGTATGGACCAGCCATCTAAAGAGGACAATCCAGACAGCAGAAGCTCTTGATCTGCCCTACGAGCAGTGGAAGGCTTTGAATGAAATTGACGCTGTAAGAACCTTTCTTGGATTGCAGAATAACCCGATGGGTTTTGGGAGGAAGGGCTGAGAGGGACCAGAATTGGACAAGCACCACTTCCTGTCATTGTGGAAGGACGGCACCTTCATTTTCCTGTCCTTTCTCAGCGTGAGAATTAGTTCTCACGCAGTCTGTAAAAACCAGAGCAAGTCAGACAAGTGCAGAAAAAGGGGCACGTGGCCAGCCTGCTCGAGAGAGAGGACAAGAGGTCCGTTACATAAAGCTGGAAGGAAGAAGATACGCGAGAGAGTTTGAATCTTGCTTCTATATAGCAGTTACAGCAGATGCTGAAATTCTTTGAGTTACGGCTGTTGAGTGCAGTCTTGGCAGAATTTGGAGAATGGGCTATAAAGTGGATTTTGATTAAATCACCGTCATCGTCATCATCTCTCTGTTCTTGTAGGGTGTGTGCGAAGAGATGACTTACGATGAAATCAAGGAAAAGTATCCAGAAGAATTTGCCCTACGCGACCAGGACAAATATTATTACCGCTACCCATCTGGAGAGGTTTGTGTCCTGGGATGCCAGGCATGTTTTTAACCACTGGGTGGGATACCTAAACAATGTGCTAGCCCTAACCTCCTGCAGCCTGAAATTGGGGGCCTTAGCTTGCCCCCCACCCCCCATGTGGCTCTTATGATTAAAATAAAGGTGCGGAGGCTGGGAAAGGACTGGGAGAGACAGCAGACCTAAATCCAGACGCAGAAGGGGAGGCAGCTTAGCTCATAAACAGCAACTCGGCCCAGGGACGAGAAACCCGAGCAGAAGCATTTCAGATCCTTCACGGAGCTTCCACCTTAATGTCCTCACTCTAAAGGAGGGTTGGAAATTCCTCTGGCAGGTTCTAAGATTCTCTGTTTCTAGCACTGAAGGCACCTTCCAGAAATCTCTGTCGCTTCCTCGATCCGGCTCTGCAGTTCCTCTGTTTCTGCCGAGAGATGAACCTGTTTCTCATCTCTTTCTCTCCATCCCTTTTTCCCCAGTCCTATCAAGATCTGGTGCAGAGGCTGGAGCCAGTGATCATGGAGCTTGAAAGACAGGAAAATGTCCTTGTTATTTGTCATCAGGCCGTCATGCGGTGCCTGTTGGCTTACTTCCTCGACAAAAGTGCAGGTGGGTCTCCGCGCTCACTCCTGTAGGCTGCCAGCATGACATCAATGCAATTGTAGGATCACCTGTTAAAGGGAAAGGTGGGGAGATCCAGGACAATGAAAGGAAAATGTTCTTTACACAACTCTTTGGCCATTTTCTCACAACCTGTTTAACCTGGTTGTGGAATTATCTCCTTTTTGGATTCTCCTAAGGGGCTGAACTGTAAGCTGGGTTTGCACAAGCTGCTAAGACACATTCACCCATGCACGCAAATGCTAACCATGGTTAAAATTTAGCTTCGTCTGTTGTGTGAATGCCACTCCTAGGTCTTTAACTGACCAGGTTAAGCATGCTGTGGGAACTCACGCATAATTACAGCAAGGAATCAGCTGCCCTCAGGGCTGAGGACAGCCAACAATATCAGCGCTTGGGGAAAAAAATGACTGCAGCTCACTAGGCATTCAAGCAACTGGCAGGGGGTCAGAATCAGAAGCCAAGAATCATGGTCAGGAGGCTAGGGAATCACAGTGAAGGAGGGTGATCACTTTCCTCCCAGGTCTGGGAGTTTCCTGCATGCAGGCTTCTGAAATTTGGACCCAGAAGCTGAGTCTTGTCAGGTTTTGTAGTGGTACCTCCAAGTAACTGTTGCTTGTAGCAAGACAGACACTGCCGGTGAAACTTCCCTGGCGCAGGAACCGAAGAAATCAGTTTAGGACTGGTGGCGTAACCTTGCAAGGGTGATGGGACAGCTGAGCCTCCGAGCAGGAGAAAAAGGTTCAAGCAGCGTTTTTCAAACTTGGCAACTTCAACTCCCAGAACTCCCCAGCCACTATTCTGACTTCTGAATTCTGGGAGTTGAAGTTTGAAAAACCCTGGTTAAAGGGAGCATCAAGACAGTTGTCCCATTTATAGCCCAGCATGGCATCGATCCAGTGGATCACTCGAGTTTTTCCTCCTTTTGTTTCCTTTCAGAAGAAATGCCGTATCTGAAATGTCCTCTCCACACAGTCCTGAAGCTGAGTCCTGTAGCTTATGGTGAGCCTCTCCCGCAAAAGATGTTCCGTAAGAGAATGGCTGCGTTCACACAACACGCTCGGCTTGGCTAAAATCAGGCGAGCGGGGTAGTTGGGGTGGTTATTTGGGTGTGGCCTGCCATGTGAGCACAACCATTGTGTTTGTTAACCTGGGTTTAGCCTCTGTGGGAACCCAGCCTCTGTGCCTCAGGCGGATGTTCAGTCTCCCCCCAAGTCTTCTGAACCTGCAGTCCTCCAGATACGTTGGGACCTCCACTCCCAGAGTTCCTAGATGATTTTGTAGTAGCTGGGAATCCTGAGTGATGTAATCTCAGCATATCTGGGATTTTGGGCTGTTTGGGTTTGTTGAAGTTTTGAGACCTTCAGCTTTTCATAAGCAAAAAATGTAAGGCGCTAGACCTCATTGTGTTGAGTTGTCAGAGAAGGACAGTAACATTCCAGACAAACTGAGAGAGCTTTATGTGGGCATATTCATGAGTGGCAAGGCTACCCGATATTTCATTGTTGATGAATTCTTGGTCTTCATATCCCTCCCACCAACATGCGGAGTCCACTGAATATGGAGAACCTGGGAGTTTAAGAACCCTGGCTTCGATTTTTAAAATCAAGTTCTAGCATTTCCATTGACTGAATATATGCAGTTTGCCTGGGGAAATCTCCCAAGCTACAGAGGGGCACCCACAACATACATTTTTAGCAACGACAAGCAAATTTAAGTTTTAATGCCTCCCCACCAGCCCTGAGATCTTTACTCCTATCGGTGAATTAAGATAAGATTTAAGGTAATTCAGCTAAAATGTTAAAATGTTCCACAGAATGTAGAAGGATCAATTTAGCACCGATTGTATAAGCCCCAATCAATACCCCATGGTCATATTTTACTTTATTTGCAGTCAGAACAGATGGTTTAGCCCAGGAAAAATGTCCTGTGGCTCATTCCAGGGGACAATTTACCCCTTCTGCTTTTGCCAAAGTCACCACCAGCGTTATCCTACTGCAGTGCAGAAAATTCTTGGGGCTGTTCCCTGATTAAAGAAATTAGCTGATGCTATTATATACTTCTGATCTGATTTGATTTAATATCCTTGCCTTTCTCTGGCATCCGAGAAGGACAAATGCTTTTCTCAGGCCCCGTTTGACCCTTGCTGGTTCAAGTTGCTTTTAAAAACCCAGTCATTTTAATTTGAGTTACTTTAAACACACACACACCCTTTCCAAGGACTTAGTCTGTTTTGATCTCATTGTCTGGCTAAACAGCGTAGCAAACTGATGAACTGTGCCTCATCCCTCCTCCTTTCTTCTCTCTAAGGTTGCAGAGTGGAGTCCATATATTTGAACGTGGAAGCTGTGAACACTCACCGGGACAGACCAGAGGTGAGGGCCACTGACTTGCTAAGGGGCCCTTCTATCCCCCCGCCACACACGATCATAGGATAGGCACCCTTATTCCCCCAAAATGTTCAGCACCAGGTCCCCTTTCTTGGCTAGCGTTCACTTCCTCACACCTGGTTAGTGATAGAAGGATAGCAATTACAGCAGTAGGAAGAGGTAGGAAAAATCAACTTTACCTGCATTGTTGACTGTTCAAAGTGCCTCCCAGATACAAGGCCCTAGTTCTCAATAAGGAGGTCAGACTTGTGCATCAGCTGTTCCATTCCGATGGCCTGTGCGGGGCCCCCATGACCGAATGCTCCCCCTTTGGCAGGGAAGAGGAAGAAACTACCCCATAGTACCTCCTTGACATCCGCTACGATTTCAGATTCCGCTACCACCAACATCTGCTTCCGTGTCTTTTCTGAATAAGTTTTTTTTCCTAACTACGACAACCCTGGGGGTTTATTGTAAATTGGGCTTTGCTTGTTAAAACAAGGAGGCAAGAAACTGCCAGGGAGCTAGCCCCCGTTGCCAGGATCTGTTTGGTGAACAACGCAGCTTCTCTCTTGGGGTCCCATAAATCAAGGTTCCTACTTGGAGCTACGATGTGAATGACAGTGGCTAGTTTCCCCCCCCCCCGAGTGGCCATCTTCTTCTCTGCTGCCTTCTCCATCAGGCAATCCCCCCCACTTCCATCTCAGCCCCCCGCTGGGAAGATCACAACCGAGAATCAGACTTTACCAAAAATGGGAAAGTCCTGTTGTCCTTTGCAAGAAGCAGGGCTTTTTCAGTAGCGCCCCCTTCGCCTTGTAGTATGCTCTCCCCTGTGAGACCCGCCTGGCTCCATTTGTTAAGCCTTAGAATACTGGCTAGATCAACACATTAGGCCAATTTGTTTCTTGTTCATGGGGGTGTGCGCATGTAATAGACAATGTGCAAAAGTTTCCCAGTTCAGTCCTTGAGCTTCCAGCAGCAGGGCTGGAAATCTTGTCTACAACCCTGAAGAGCTGTTGCTCATCACCGGGGCCAGCAAATAAGGACCAAGAGCTGATTGAGTCGAAGGCTTCTTTCTGTGGCTTAAAGGCGGGTTGTGGACCTTTAGAACGATCTAAATTCGGGAGCTACCAATGTAGGAATTTTGAGCTGAAAGGCAAAATTTAAACTGGTTTATGCATAAAAGGAACCGGGTATTATGCAATGCTTTATAGTGCTGGTAAAGATAAGACAGTGTTCAGATTTGGTCTTCTGTGGCTTCACTTGCTGTCTAGGGTGTCTTTATTTGCTTAATAACAAATAATCTTCTCCCCTATGAAAGCAGCAGGTTCTCAACTGTTTAACTAATAAAAAGCTGCTGACTTCCACCCCGCCTTTTGCAGGGAAAAGATGGTCGAGGCTAATTGAATGTTGATTCTTGTCTGGCTCCGCCTACCTCTTTAGTCTGGCCCCGCCTCCTGTTAGGGGTGGAAACCCTGATCAAGTGAGGACCTCAGCCAGAGAGTAGCTGAACCCCTGATCCCCAAAGTCTTTCCGTCCTCTTCGTCTGCCTGCAGAAACTAGAAACGCTGGTCATTTTTAGGCTTTCAAAATCCCGTTTCCTAGAAGCATAGAACGTAAGGGTTGGAAAGAACCTCAGAGCTCACCTAGCAAAAAGTTCGCTCTCTTTGCTTTTGTTTCGTGGTGTGTTACGGCGAACCCATTTTTTTATTTCTTTCTTTTCATACCTCTCACCTCCTTTTATATTGTTATTTTTCTTATCTTTCTCTCGCTCCAATTTAGGATGCAAAGAAGGGACCTAATGCGATCATGAGACGCAATAGTGTCGTCCCTCTGGCCAGCCCCGACCCCATCAAAAAACCTCGCATGAACAGGTTCGAGGAACACGCTCCTGCTTCCGCTGCCATGCCAATCCATTCCTGCCTACCCCCGGAAGGGGCGGTCCAGCATCCCGCACAAGTTGGTTCTCTTCTTTTGTTGGTGTGTTTTTGTGGTGATGGCCGACGTGTGTTGTGACTTTTCCCGCTCGGCGTGCCTGAGCGTCCTGTGGCTCGACCTCTTAGGAGGGCGTTCTTGGTCTTGCTTGATGTGGTTTGGATGAGCGCGACACCCCAGGATACTTCTCTCTGACCCCCACGGACCTTCTCCCCTGGTGTCATTGGAGGACCGGAGGTGTCCTGCTCGCTACCTAAACTAACTTGCACGTGCGTGTGAGTGAGTGAGCGAGCGAGCAAGTGCCTTGATCTTGACTGGGCAAGACCTTGAGTGGCCACGAAACCCGGTTGCGCTGAATGATCGAGGGAGCCATCTTCTCCTTGCAACCTTTGATGGACATGCCTTTAAGAACGTCCAGTTGGTTTCTACTTTGGTTGAATGCTGCCTTGGTTCCTCCCGGTCCATGCTTTTAAGTTGATTATAGTCTCCCTTTGCCATTCTCAAACGACGCCTCTGATTATGGACCCAGATTAGGAACTAACCATTTCCGTGTCATCCGATCCCGCCTGGGTTTTGGTGGGGGGGGCGGCTCTCCAGCAACCCAGACCACAGCAATCCTTCCCGTGGAAGCAGACCAGGAGGAGTCAGAAACATGTTTCACGGGAATAAGTGGAAAGTCCGCCAAAAGGAGCGCTTTTGCATTCAGCTTGCTGGCGGGCTCTGTGACCCTCAAGCGGGAGAAGTTCCTCCTGGGAATGCTTCGTCTGTTTGCTTGTAATCTCTGCCCCAAGGCTGTTTTGGAGGGCCAGAGGAACAAGATTGCCACGACTCAACACATTTTCTTTTCTTTTTTAGATGGGACAGGTTAGATTTCTGCAAGTTTTTTGCTGGATACGTAGCAGTCAAACCGGCCTGGCCTGATTCTCTACTGCAGTGTTTCCAACCTGGGCAATTTTAAGATGCGTGGACTTCAACTCCCAGAATTCCCCAGCCAGCATGGCTGGCTGGGGAATTCTGGGAGTTGAAGTCCACGCATCTTGAAATTGCCCAGGTTGAGAAATGCTGTTGTAATGTGAAGCCTGAAGCAATCTCTGTTAGCACCTCTCCATTCCCCCTCCCCACCATGGTACTGCTGGACACTGATGCTGGGTGCTGGGTGCTTCACATCTCTTGGTTTATCTCTCCCTCCCCTTCCCATCTTTGGGCTGCCATTTTCCAGGTGCTGAGCTTTTACGCACCCTTACGGATTTCTTTACCTTTATTTTTTTCTCTCTCTCTTTTTCCTTTGTCTCTTTACAGCCATTACTGGGGAAGGCTTGCCTGTAAGTAATATTTTTTTTTTTTTTTTTTATGGCTGTGGTGGTGATTGAACGCGTTTCTTCGCTGCCCGGCTGGCTGGGTCTTCGTCTTGCTGCCGAGAAACCGTGTTTTGCTCTTAATTTTCCACGAGGTCTTTGCACCTTTGTTTTTAAACCCTGGGAAAGCATTTCCCATTTCGGTGCAACAAGAATACCACGATGGCCTCAGATAGCTTATAAAACCTCTTATCTGAAAGCGGCCAAGTCACGATTTGCAGTGCAAGGGGATGGTGAATCCCCGTTGGGACCTGCATTTTGCTTGTAAGGTTTTTTTCTTTTTGAAAGGCTTGTATCTCACCACTAGAGCCCAAGACATGAATTCAGGGAGATGCAGAAAGAAGATTGGTCCCAAATCCCTGCTAGCCGGGGGCTCGTTCACACAACACGTTAGACTAAGCTAAAACGGAGGTGGTTTTTTGGAAGTTCTAGCTCTTGTGGGAACCTGGCCCATCTCTTAACGTGTGGTGTGAACCCAGCCATCGGGGTAGAGCCAGGGTTGGCCAGTCTGGGCATAGCATGTTCTGTGAACAGAGCACTTCTGCTTCGTGATCCTGAGTTTAGTGCGTTGTGTGACGTTGGCAGGGTAAGCGATCCTTCGCTAGATGGATCAGGCCGGAATCCTGCAGCTTCCTGGGTTTAATATTCGATCGACGCGCCGCTTGGTGAAAAGATCCCAAGGGCTGTTGGAAAGGTGTAAAGATCCTTCTTAACAAGTACTCCTTCATTGCCAATAGCTTGGGCTAAATTCCACGTTCAAACTGATGAACGGAGCTGTAATCTGACATACGCGCAGGAAGACATAACGTTATTCCTGAAACGGAGCACGGGAGTCAGTCCTGGGGCTAAACACAATTCTTAGGAATAAATTCTGGCAGCATCTTTTCCTGGCAAGGGAGCAACAGGTCCGTGGAAAATCCTGTCTGCCCCTGACAGAAATGCATTAAAATGGAGATTTTCTCCTCCACCAAGCCAGGGGCCAAATGTTTTAAAAGGGCAACAGAGAAGACTTGGCTTAAAGGTGGAAACGGACGCCAGATTCTGGTGCTGGCCCAATTTTGGGGTGCTGGTGAAGCGTGTGCACCCAGGTGTTGAGCAAATGCCATGGCAAGCCTTTCCCTTTCACCCATGATAGATGGCCGTCCTTCCCATCTCCTTCTCTTCGTTCTTCTCATACTGAAATACGGGTGCATGGCCTTCCCTTCTCCCAACTTTCAGCTTCACTCAGATTTCCAAAGGGAGTTTGCTGTGTTGTGTGTTGCATTTGTGCTAACCTCACTTCTTTGCATTGGAGTAACAGCTGCTGCAAAGATTTTTGGTGTCTTCCTCCTCCTCCTTCTCTCCCTCCTTCCTCCTTTCCTTCCTTCCCTTTCCCTCCCTCCCTTCTTCTCCTTTTTCTTAGGAGGAGGAGAGAGAGAAATGCATATTCATTTGGGGTTAGGTAGCTCTTATAAAAGTGACCCTTCTGGTAGGGCATGGCTCCCTTTCCCTGAAATAACTTTTTTTTTTTCTTTTTTCGTTTTAATGAGGTGCTCTCTGTGCTGAAGGCTTTAAGGCTCGGCATTTGCTTTTTGAGAGCAGAGCAAATGGTATGCAGAACATACCGAGGCTGAAATCTCCTGATCCCAAAACATCCTGTTTGGAGCAAGAGGCTTTTGCAGGCTGGGATATTTCAGCCACCAAATGTTTTGAATGCTTCTCTTTCATTTCTGCTCCCCCTCTCGCCCCAAGGGGTTTAATTGATGATTAGTGAGGTAAAGGAGATAATCTTCCAAGGAGTCAGTTTCTTTAATGGTGTGGTCCAAGGATTCTCTAGCAGCCCGGAGGCATGCTATTTTTTGTGTTATCTATAGGAGCCTATGGATCATCGATGGCTCACCTCCAGTTTGTGTGCATATTGTCTTTAAAGTTACACTGAATGTTTGTCTACTATCAGGTGTTCTTCAAAGTCCCTTTTAAGTCAAGCTCAGCTCCTGAGGATTCTGTACTTAGCAGAAATATAGAAATTGTTTCCCGCTCCCTTCTCCAGAATGTTTTTTCCAACTTCTCAATCCAGCTATGCCCATAGGATTTCCTAGAGCTCTCCCATCCCATCCTAACCAGGTCCAATTCTGCTTAGCCTCCTACTCCTAAAGCGTTGAGCCAGGCGATACCATCCCCGAGATGACAACAGTTATAAAAATGCATTCCTAATTTGTTGATGGAGCAGAACAAGATAGAAGGGCAGGCAGTTCCGTTCTGGAAAGCGGGGGGAAATTGTGCCACTTCACCCCTGCTGGGATTGAAACTTTTTGTGCAGAAAAGTTTGCTTGTATGTTTCTGAAACGAGCGGTCAAAATGATTATGTTGCATTTACAATGTGAAGTGGTGCAGGGCTTTCTTTAAGAGAATACTGCAGTGATAATTTTAGGTTCCTGCTTTGTCCTGTTTTGTGACACTAAGCAGGATCCAACTTTCTCGGTCTCGCTGCAGGCTTCATCCATTTTTCAGACGCTTGGGATGTCCTACAAAAAAAACTTTAGGACATGCCTTTGACGTGGAACTGTAGGACACAAGGCACAACCCATATGCGCAATCCATAGGTCTCATCTTTAAAAGTAACATGTAGTTCTCCCGCAAAGCATCAGGGCATCTCCAGGCTCCTTTCAGCCAGCAGATTTGTGTTAGCCTCAAAAAGCAATCAATTGTCTGTGGATCTGAGGTGACTTGACCATTTTTTAGAATTCAGTCCAAGAGACATGGAAGACATAGCCCCTGGTACAGACAACAGGGATCTTGCCCGCATATCTAACAACCTTTTTCTCTTGGCATCATTTCACCCCCAAGTTGCCCCCCCAGATAATTTTTCTTACTTGACCGCCATTGTGTCTTCTGCTCCTCTGCATGCTGTTTTAATTGTGCTGTTTCTCCTCCCCTTTCTCCAAACACAAAGCCACTGGTTCATGCGGGTCTTCCCGTCTCTTTTCCTTGCTTTGTTGCCAGAACCTGAACTGTTCCCAGACGCAATCTTGAACGACTTTCGGCGGTGTTTCAGGAACCGCGGGTGGAAGCCAAGCGCCACGGCGTCACTCATTTCCGAAACTTGCAGTCTGCTCCACGTCTCCGTTCAACTCCAGGTCTAACTTTTGTTGATGATCTCCATCGCTGGTTATCTTGCCTTCTTGGGCTTAAGAAAATGGAGCTGCGGAAGGAGGAAATACCAGGAAACGCGAGAGAGAAGAGAGATGGGGGGAAAAAAAAAGGAAAAGAGACTTAGTTCATCAGCATATAAACTGTGGATCCAAACCTGATTTTAAAGCTGTTTTTTTCTTCATCTGCCCCACTTTGGTAGACTTTAGCAAGCACCAAAGTGCTCCTGTGCACACCATCTGTCCCAAGTCCTGGTGGGTGTTGTTCTTTTTTTCTTACGCGACAAGAAAGCTTCCCTTGCAGGAAAACACTGTGAGATCCCAGCTGGTCTAAGATAAAGGGTCAATGTAGGTGGGCTGTAGCTAAATCAGTGTAGCAAAGGGGAGATAAAAGGTGTCCTTGGTTATATCTGTGGGTCTGTTCCATCACGTTGGTTTTCACTTCGGATGTTTACCGAGAGAAGGGATTCTCCCGTAATTTTAGCTGTTGTTTCGAACTGGCCCAAGAGAGACCCGATAGCTTGTTCACAGACCTGGCAGAGAAGAGGAATAGAGGCCGAACGTGTGGAAGAGCGATGATTAAAGGGCGTTTGTAGTTCCACGGAGCATATGCACAAACCAGACTTTGTAAGTTAGCGCCTCCCATCTCATCTAGGGGCGCATAAAAAGTTCCGTCCCTGAACATCCCAGTCCCCACACGGATTGCGTTCTGGCCCTGCTCTGGGATGTTTTTTTGTGACGTGTATGACACTTTGCACACCTTTGCTTCTTTTCTTGGGGGGGTGGGGGACGTCCCACTCAGGAAGGACCCCAGCCCATTTTTAAGTCCAGTGTTATAGATGCACTGGTCATCTTTTCAGCCCTGCGGGTGTGGTTCTGCTCCACCTTGCCTCCCCCCGCCCCCCGGTTTGTGTCTCTGGCTTGTGGGAAGGTCTGTTTGGAGACCACTGAAGGCTTAACATGCATATTTATGTACGAGCAGCTCATGGTGCAAACAGGGCGTGTGCATGTCGACCAATGAGTGAGCCTTCGGCAACGGGGTCACTCGTGGAGGTCTGCAAATCAGAGCCCACGGGGCTGTTTTTTCCAGCTTTCCCCTCTTGAGTTAGCCACTGACAATGGTTTCCCTCAAAAACGTATCCAGCATACGTCTGTCTTGGAAAGTTTTTGTATCAAGGAGAGGGAGAGAACTGCAGGGGTATAGTTTCTTCCTAATGAGTGGCCAATAGAAATGTAACCGTGAAGAGTGTGATGTGCCCCAATGCATTAGAACAGCACGTAGGACAAGGTAGAGGTTGGTTTTGTTTGGGTAGGTCGATTATCGTGGGCCTCCTGGGCCCCCCCTTTTTTATTTGTTGAAATGTTAGTAGTAGTAGTATTTTAAGTGATCATTTCACTAGTTTTGAAGTACTTCTGAGCAAGTTCGCCTTCCTTTTGACCAGAGCTTCTCCTGCTGACTTTTCAGCCATTCTTCAGTTTCCCAGTTATGCCCCCAAATCCTCAGCTGACCGCCAGCTCAAATCAAGTGAAAGCTTAAAAAAACCAACCAAGCCTAACCTAATTTAAAACGTAGTTAGGTCTTTGAGGACTTGATGTCCTTCAGCCGAACTGAGCTGGAACTACCGTCGTGCAGTGGGCGTTGCCTGGCTAGCTGGGGATGAGGGGTGTTGTAGTCGCGAGCTTTGGAAAGGAAAGCCGGTGCCGACGTTACGCTACGATGTGAGCAAAGACGGATGCTGAGGCTGAAAAGTAACGGTAGCCTTGTTTTGCACGTAAGCCCCCTTTAAAACTGAATTGTGCTACCAAAGTTTTGCTGAAAAGGCTCTCCTGGATGAGCCAACATGGGAGTTGGACAGTTCATGGGCAGGTTGGGGTCTGCTGGAGGAGGGCAGACAGTTGCCTTGCGTGGTAATCTTGCAGGGCAATAAAGGTGGTTTTATTTCCAAAATAAAGGATTGCTTGAGCAAGGCCCGAGGTGTTGACTTGCTAATCCGAGATGGTTTATATGTGTATAGTAATGCTAAATGTAGATGAAAGGCTCTTTCTGCTTGTTATGATAATTTGTTTTGGTTTTGGTTTTTTTAAAAGACATTCTTTATTCTGAATGTTTTTGGAGCTTGTATATGCCTGAGCACACGAGATTAATCTTTTTTTTTTTCCTTTAAAAAATAGTTATTTGAAGTGTGAATGACCTTCTCTCCAACACGGCAAATATTTCCCTTTGAAATTCTGCCCCAAATAGGCCAAACGGGTGCAAGAGAAAAACTAACCCTCCCCCCCCCCACAAACTCCCGAACAACTACCTCTTGCAACCCCCTCTAAACCCTCTATACCACATTTTTTTCT